AAACTGATGAGTATGTTAGGTTTAATATTCCTTAAAAATTATGTTAAACGTTCAAAATTGAAAATCAGGTCCGGAATTTAGAAGATGGGCATTGGTTATAAATGGCGATATATTGAGGCGTCTCACTTTAAGAAAGTATTACTCTTAAGAATTTTTCAGTTCTTGATTAAAAACAGCCGAACGCGTCACTTTATGAATAATAGTTCGAGACTAAATATATCGAACTGAACGAACAACCATTTATTCATTTGTATTCAGCTACATGCTTCATAGCTGACAGCATGATGTATAGTTAGAGTACAAATACATCCTAAAATTTGTTGAACTACAGTTCTGCGAGAATCAAACAACGACGCGGCGATGTGAAAAGTATCATGACAAATTAGCAAGAATAATATATTGCATGTCTCTAGTGAGGTTTAAAGAATAAACACATGTATTTTGGATTTAAGAAAATACAGTGAGAATAGGCGGTATAACATCAAGAGAGGCATATATTCACTTTAAACCTAAGTGAAACTGAAGCATGAGAACATCATAATAACCCAATTTCATGTCTTTTGATTTACCGCGTTCTTCTGGTCTGCTGGTTTTGAATAATTAAGTTAGGTTTTACAATTATTAAGCGAAGTTATACAATTATTACAAGTATTAAGTGAGGTACAAGCTGAATAATGGGATAAGTAATCGACCACTGTACCGCCTTAAATATCTATAGATCTGTGGCTTGAATATATCAATATCCAAGTAGCCAAAACCAATTAAACAGAGCAATATGACATACATCTTATCATTAAAAGAGCTGTAACTTATTTGACCGATTCTAGCATTGGAGATAATTTTTTTGACGCGCAAATACGCACTTTAATTTACACGATGAACATATTAAGTGACTGCTGCATGCATCATAAGATATTAAGACTATGTTTAATGTTAAACAGTTTGCAAACTATCTCGAATCGTAAATCAGTCAAAATTAGTCTGAACTCAGAAAGGATCTGGTATAATCGGGTTGAACTTCTCATGTGGGCGAAAAGCTTATAGCAAAATGAGGGACTACATCAGATATAAATCTGAAATTATTAACGAAGAATTTAGACTAGTTTGTTTTTATTGTTCTGCATACTGACACTGTAGAAATATATCTGAAAATTGGTATATACATATTAGGTAGAGTCTGGCCTACTGGCTTATTTTAGTCCAAGAACTTTTCTTTCCGCGCTGCCGCAACCGATATCTAATCTCAAAAATGTACAGAATGTTCGACAGCACAGCTACTCAAACATAAGCCGTATATATTATTCTAAGGAAAACGATTCAAGTTGATAATCTCAACAAACACGTGTAATGCGCATTTTTATATGATTGCGTAATAAAAAGATATAGATAGATGCGGCTTAGAAAAGCTATTGTTCCTTTGCTAATGCCGTAACAGGCATTTTATATTTGAGCCATTGCACGATATGATAAATATTACATTCATCATTAGTTCAGCAGGTACAAAAAGGCTAAAAATCACCGTCTAAACAAACACATAGTGCACTCTCTGAGCATTGAAAGATTTTAGCTGACCATTGGCAATTCAATATGAACATATAACAAATGTATCCATGCACAATCAATATAGTAATGCAGAAATAGTAGTCGAGTAGTGTGGAAACTTTCAAATAATCTGGTACCCTAACGCTGCTCTAATTTCGAATAGTCGACTCAGTCTGAGTTTCAGCACTCCTACTTTAGTTTCATCTTCACTTTCCATGACTGCACACCGATCGGGTCGGGGGGAGGCAAACACGTCAGACAGTGTTTCGACGTTCCCGATCATGTATCAGAATCTGAGCTTCGCCGGAAGAGAACTGAACTCATTCGCAGATTCTTTTCACATATTGCCACCACGTAAATCACGGCCTTTTGCTGTGCCTTTTGCGTGTCCGCATAGCAGAAAACAGTTGTTTCGCCTTTTCTGGAGGCATTTGCAGCATGTGCCTAAACCATTGCAGGTACGATTTCTCAATCTGAAGAGGAGGCGGCTATATAAAAAGCATGTCGCAGATGTCTGCACTCCGGAACATGTGACGCGTAAGGCCAGGGACTAGCTTCAGAAAACACATTTCAGCAGCTTGTTCCAAGGTTCCAAGCTATTTAGTCATGGTCCACGACTCATGATCATAGTTAAGCACTGGGATAAAGATCGAATTGAATATGAATCGGGCAAGTTCACGCAGGACTCCACTGACTACTCCAACTTGCCGGTTGAAGGCTTCTTCAAATTTTCCATCACTAGTAAATAAGTTTCCGATGTACACTTGAATTTCTCCACCTGCTGCACTCTTTCTCTGTTTGCTGAAGACTGCAATGAGCTGAAGGCTTTTAGTTTTAAATGCTTTCAGATACATGTTGGCAACGACGCGTGGGGCTTCAAGTCTTTCCAGACAGCGCTGTAGATCAGTTACAAAAGATGCCGTTAAAACAAAAACGTCTGCAAACAGGTATTTCCTCTATCACAAACTACATCATGAGCATATACATGGCACTAGCTCTTGCTCACCATCTCATCCATGTACAACACAAACTAGAAAGGGTTCAGAACGCAGCTTTGCCGAAGAAAACAGCCAACGCTTAAAGGCTTCAACTTGAAGTTTGAAAGGCGCGTGCAGGAAGTAACACCAGTTGTTTTGAGGATTTCAGTATGGACCTCATCAAATCCAGTAGATTTTGCGCTTTTCACCACTTGTGTCGTTTTATCCGCAGGTACAATGATATCCGTTTCCTTATGCTGTGCTGGCGAGTTTTCCAGTGGTTGCTCGGGATAAAGGAGTTCTTCAAAGTATTTTCTTCATCGTCGAAGAATATCATCATATTCAATATTTGGAGGTGTCCCAACTCTCAGACTATTCAATTCTCTTACATTGTCT